TTGTGTCACTGAACATCATTTACCAATCAGTATCAATTTTATTCATCTTATCAAATATTAACTAAGTCACAGTAAAGGATATAATTTTATAAAGTGAATGTCTTTTATATACATTATAATATTTTCGACATAATTTTATTAGAGTGCTTACTTTTTCTCTTCAGTAATTTTAACAAGTAAAGGGGCTATTTCATAATTGAAAAATATACCAGGTAATCCTTGACCATCACCAGATAGAGGCGTACCTTTTGAATGCCATGTAGCCGAGTACTGATTAGTTATCACAGTGCTTTCCTACATATTTACACAGAGAAAATCAGAATTAACGAAGTAAGTAGAAACTAAGTTTTTTAGAAAAATGTACATATAAACTGTACACTGGACGTTAAAATTTGTGGTAGCCTGTGTTAACGATAGGTTAATGTATGTAAACTAATAATAGTTTCATTTTTGTAAAAATTTCAAATTAAATTAGTGAAATATAATGAATCGGTATAAGTAACTGATAATCATTTATATCATATCAGCAGTGAGATTAAAGCAAGTTTTTCCTTACAGAATGGATAACTAGTAGATGTTAACTCTTCATTGTCCACCTTTTTTATTTGCAACTAATTTCTGTATTTCGATTGTTTAAATTAGTTGAAGGTGAATGTCAAGTTAGTAAAATGCTAAGAAAATGATCCAGAATTGATCTGAAACGTCATCTAGTTGAAAAGTATAGAGTGATGGTTGAACCTGAAAGCGGTTCGAGTGATTGAGTCAGGTCTAGTGGTTAAGTCACCGATAAAATCTTGGTAGTGATGGTTATAGTTCTTTTGTCATTTGTCAACAAATATCACTTACGTTGTAAGAAATAGTCGACTATCCATAGAAAAGTGAGTATACCGTTATTTTGCTCTCGCTGTGATGTGAAGTGTGGTACCTTTGTATCACGCCCTGCATTACTTGTGACTCCAAACTACTGAGTGGAATCCCATTTTGTGTTACAAAGATGTTAAGACTTGTGTGATGACATGTATTCAATCATGCGTTTCGCTTGGAAGATTAATTATGTGCTGAAACCACTCGATAAGCATTGTTGAGAATGAAATTGATGTTTTAGATAAGGGTGGTAGATCAGTTGATGAGGTTGTAAAACTTTATTAGATGAAGAGACTGATTCAGGAGTTACACATGCTACTAATTATCTTTGTTTGCAATGTCAGCTAAAGTAAGATTTGGCTGGAATAAGTGTTCAAACCAAGGCATAGCATCAGTCGTTAAAATTACTAACAGCTGGTTTGAACAGTGTAGATAGAAGCGAACACTTTATGAGAAAGGATTTTGATATCACAGAAACCAGCTAAATATTCTATTAGACGAAACTCTAAAATTTATGATAGTTATGCAAATATGCACTAACATTTACTTCCTAAATTCTCAACGTCATAATACTTCGTATTTATTTTGCTTTGTTTGTTTTCATATTTTTTGTTGTTATCGATTTCCTTTATCTATGTTGTGTAGTAATGAAAGTTGAAGTGGGACATAATGCGAAGTTTTGTGTTAACACGGTTTTTCTTTTGAAATAAGTCTCAGCAGTCAGTTAGATCTATTCAAATAATCGTAACATAACAACTTATTAGAATATAAGGTAAATAATCTATCAAGATAAGCTTTCTGAAAGTTAGCTATTCTAATGCCATCCACGAACACACAGTAAGGTATAATAAAATAAGTTCTTAAGAGCAACATTAACTACGTAGGTGGTTAGATCATTGTATTTTTCTTTACTCAATTGATATCTAATGAATCATAATAAAATAATCCTTTTTAAAATGTTTTTAAAATTGTACTACCATTCAAATGAGAGAAAAGAAAGTACAATAACTACAGGAACTAAGTATTTAAAGTAATGATGACTATCATGATGAAGTGATTACAGACAAAATATTGTTTGAAATGTTAATCAGTGTTGTATAAGAATGTTTAGTGGTCCGTGGATCTGACTCCATTTAGATCGTAAGAATGTTCGTTATCACCTATCCTCGTATACAATTATCGACCTAAATCACGTTAGTCAATAATGGAATTTAGATAAGTCAATTAACGAGAATGGCCTTTGAATACATATATTTTGTATGTAAAGTGAAAGTGATAGAACACAGCAAAATGACGCGCAAGGGAGATGGCTGTTGGTAAGCCAACTCCATTTCTAGCCAGGCGTTGCGCAATATTTATAGGCAGACAAAATAAACTACAGACATGTGGTATGTAATGAGATAAGAAATGTACACACATATACGCTCATATAAAAACAGTCAAGACTGATAAGCGAATAATTAACAAGGTCAAAATATGACTCAAGTAGAATGAATAGATTGGTTTGTTCAAAAACTAGAATAAGATATACTATGGGCTTAAAATAATAACTGACACTACAAATGTTTTAAAACACAAGATATTCAATATTCATTAGTTCAATAGTATATCTTCGTATTTAGTACCAATGATTTAGATGTATACGCTAAGGAATATCAATGAATTTAATATTATCATGTTCTTAACTCATTGTTGTATTTTGAAACAACGAAGAAAACTTATCAAGTCATTAAAAAGAATGAAGATGTTCTAAAGAGGAGAATCTTCTTTTCTAGAATGTCATTTTTTATACTATACAATAGTATTTATCAGTAATATGATATGAGGTTTGAATAAATTTTAGTAAATTTATCCAGTGATGTAATTGTTCCTTTATATTATGATAGAATACTATATGTAAAACTACTGATAAATACGATTGCACAACTAAAGAAAATGACACTGTCGAAAAGACAATTTAATTCGTTGAATTATTTTTTTTCAATATTCATCTTAACAACTACATGTTGAAGAGGTAAAAAACTTCCAGCAAAAAAAAGAATATTATGTACAGGATTTACGAAATTTTACCAATATGATTTTAAGTGTAACACACATATGAGTTACAACATACATTTCGGTTAACGCCGGTATACATAGTCGGTACCAGTTTTAAGTAGTAAATAAACATCTGGGAATCTGAAAGTTCGGAAATAACACAAATAGTAATTATTTGTAAATAAACTAAAATGTGTAGTTACAGGGTTGAAAGATTACATAATAACTGGTGAGAAGATTCAGACGAAATACATTTTTGATAATTAATCAAAAATTCTTAATAATTACGTAAGAGTAAAAAAAAAAAAAAACAGAAAAGGGAAAACAGATTGGGAAAAAGGCGTAGTAATAAGTGCGTTCTAACTCTACTCTACTATAGCTTATGTTGATGGCTAAGGTGGAGAAAGAAAGGGATTGTACACATTTCTACTGAATGCCTAAGTCAGGTTTATTGATATGAATGCCATATGCAGTATCAAGAAGATTCACGCATAAATCGTGTATATTTGATGAAATACGATAGAGGACTTGAAAAGGTTTATTTCAAACTACTTGATTTTCTATATTTATCAGCTGATCAAGTATTGAGTTCTTAATCATCGATAATTGTCATCCATCTAACTACACGGGATGGTATTTGAAAAGGGGATGATGTACTTACCTACCTGTGTTTCCTATGTGACTAGCTCGATGTGAGCAGTAAAAATGATAAATACACATGGATGAGGTGAAGTCAAACATATTATCTTTGTTTCTGGTTGGCATAATCGAATGATTATTGACTACTGTATCCAGCATGGATACAATAAACGTTTCCTCTAAACATTTTACTAACCTTACTTACTTACTTACTTACTCCTGTTACTCCCAATGGAGCATAGGCCGCCGACCAGCATTCTCCAACTCACTCTGTCCTGGGCCTTCTTTTCTAGTTCCATCCAATTCTTGTTCATTTTTCTCATGTCTATCTCCATTTCTCGGCGTAATGTGTTCTTTGGTCTTCCTCTTTTCCTTTGACCTTCAGGATTCCATGTGAGGGCTTGTCTTGTGACGCAGTTCGGTGCTTTCCTCAATGTGTGTCCTATCCACTTCCAGCGCTTCTTCCTGATTTCTTCCTCCACTGGGATCTGGTTTGTTCTCTCCCACAGTAGGTTGTTGCTAATAGTGTCTGGCCAATGGATGTGAAGTATTTTGCGTAGACAGCTGTTAACAAACACCTGTATTTTTTGGATGATGGCTTTTGTAGTTCACCAGGTTTCTGCCCCATACAGTAGAACTGTCTTGACATTTGTATTGAAAATCCTGACCTTGGTGTTGGTTGACAGTTGCTTTGAGTTCCAGATGTTCCTCAGTTGTAAATATGCTGCTCTTGCTTTGCCGATCCGCGCCTTCACATCTGCATCAGATCCACCCTGTTCATCAATGATGCTGCCCAGATGTGTAAAGGTTTTCACATCTTCCAAATCTTCTCCGTCAATTGTGATTGGATTGGTGCATTCTGTGTTGTATCGGAGAATCCTGCTTTTCCCTTTGTGTATATTGAGACCTATTGCTGCTGAGGCTGCTGCCACACTGTTTGTCTTCTCCTGCATCTGTTGTTGCGTTTGAGATAGAAGGGCCAGATCGTCTGCGAAGTCTAGATCATCCAACTGCATCTTAGATGTCCATTGTATCCCGCGCTTTCCTTCAGACGTTAACGTCTTCATGATCCAGTCGATCACCAGGAGAAAGAGAAAGGGTGAGAGTAAGCAACCTTGCCTAACACCGGTCTTCACTTCGAACGACTTTGTCAACTGTCCTCCATGCACGATTTTGCAGTGTAATCCATCATATGAGTTCTGTATGATATTGACTATCTTGTGAGGCACACCGTAGTGTCGAAGAAGTTTCCATAGTGTTGTTCTGTTCACGCCATCAAATGCCTTTTCGTAGTCAATGAAGTTGATGTAGAGTGATGAATTCCATTCAATTGATTGTTCCACAATGATCCGTAGAGTTGCGATTTGGTCTGTACACGATCTATCCTTACGGAATCCTGCCTGTTGGTCACGAAGTTGGGCGTCTACGCAGTCCTTCATCCTGTTTAACAATACCCTGTTGAAGACTTTTCCCGGTATTGAGAGAAGAGTGATGCCCCTGTAGTTATCACACTTGCTGAGATCACCTTTCTTCGGTATTTTGATCAGAAGTCCTTCTTTCCAGTCTTTTGGTACTTGTTCCTCATCCCAAATCTTATTGAAGAGAATGTGGAGTATCCTTGCAGTTGCTGCTACGTCTGCTTTTAGTGCCTCTGCTGGGATGTTGTCCGGTCCTGCTGCTTTGCCACTCTTGAATTGTCTGATGGCCATGCTGATTTCTTCAATTGTTGGTGGGCCAACATTGATTGGGAGGTCCGTGGGTGCTGCTTCGATGTTGGGTGGGTTCAGTGGGGCTGGTCGATTCAAGAGTTCTTTGAAGTGTTCTACCCACCTGTTTTGTTGCTCTTCAATGTTGGTGATTACCTCGCCTTCCTTGCTTTTCACTGGTCGTTCTGGTTTGCAGCGATTTCCAGAGATTTTTTTGTCGTATCATACAATTGTCTCATGTTTCCTTCTCTTGAAGCCTTTTCCGCCGTCGTTGCTAAATCTTCCATATATTTACGTTTGTCGGTTCTGATGCTCCTCTTCACTTGTTTGTTTACTTCTGTGTATTCAGCTTGTGCCTTGGCTTTCTCTGCTCTTCTTCGACTGGTATTGATTGCTGCTTTCTTGTTCCTCCTTTCTTGAGTCTTATCCAGTGTATCAACAGTGATCCATTCCTTGTGATGGTGCTTCTTGTGACCCAGGACCTCATAACATGTTGGAGTGATTGCCTCTTTGATCCCCTTCCAGTTGCTCGCCATAGTAGTTCCTTCTCCATTGAGTAGATCATGAAAGGCCTGGAACTTGTTGTTGAAGACTATCTTGAATTTGTTGAGTTTGTTAGTATCCTGGAGAAAGGCCGTATTGAACTTTTGTGATACTGTCTGCCCCATTGCCCAGTGCTTCTTGAGTTTCAATTTCATCTTGTCGACCAGCAAGTGATGATTTGAGGCTATATCAGCTCCTCTCTTGGTTCTCACGTCCTCTATAGTCCTCCTGAACGTTTTGTTGATGCAGATATGGTCGATTTGGTTTTGCGTGGTGTGATCCGGTGAAGTCCATGTGGTTTTGTGTATGCGTTTATGTGGGAATATGGTGCCGCCTATGACCAGTTTATTGAAGGCACATAGGTTTGCAAATCTCTCACCATTTTCGTTCCTTTCTCCCAGTCCGTGTCTTCCCATGATGTCTTCATATCCAGTGTTGTCCATTCCAACCTTGGCATTGAAATCTCCATTAGAATGGCCAGGTCCTTTGTTGGACACTTCTCGATGATTGACTGCAGCCTATTGTAGAATTGATCTCTAGCTTCTTCATTGTAGTCGTTGGTAGGCGCATAGCATTGGATGATGTTCATTGAAATGCCCACTTTCTTTGTTTTGAAGGAGGCTTTGATGATCCTCAGTCCATGAGATTCCCATCCTATAAGTGCCTTTTGTGCTCGTTTGCACAGCATCAATGCAACTCCTTGTGTATGTGGAGCATTTTCTTCTTCATGACCGGAGTATAACAGCTCTCCTGAAGTTAATCGTTGTTGTCCAACTTGTGTCCAATGTGTTTCACTGATCCCAAGTACCTCTAGGTTGTATCTTCTCACTTCTGCAGCAATTTGGAAGGCTCTCCCGGTGTCCCACATTGTACGAACATTCCATGTACCTAAATAAATGGTCGTTCTGGTTGTCAGAAGGGCCATCGGCCTCGTAACTTCCGAAGGAATTCGGCTTTCATCATGAGGCGTCATAGTTCTTCTAAATGAAGACCTTCTGACTCCCAGGGCAGAGTTTAAAAAGTTTGAGTGATTTTTTCTGGTTAGTGTTTTTTTAGCGAGTTGGTTTTCTACGGGATGGGGACGCTAACCCCATGCCCAACCCTCCTCCTTTATCCGGGCATGGGACCGGCAGTAGCCCCTGGAGGGACTCTAGGCGGAGTCTGTGTGCATCGTTTTCATATTTCCGAAGCGATCGGAATTCATATCAATGAACTTAAATGATGTATTCAATTGAACTCCTAACAACCTCTTTCTTTCTCCCACCTTGGCCATCAACATAAACGTGTTAGAATAGAATTATTACTTCACTTTTTTCCAAATCTGTTTTCCTTTTTCCGATCTTACTTGTAACATTTGTTTTCTTTTCTAATCTTACGTAACTATTAACAATATTTAAATGGTTATCAGAAATGTTTTTCCTAATTCTCTCATTGGTTACTATGTATTTTGTTGATCTTTTAACATGTTACTAATAGTAATAATGAATAAATCCAATTCAAAAAATTATTGTGTTCAAAGATTAGTTGTCAAATTATAAACAATATTGTTATCTGTTCTGTGATACTGATTAAAATCAATTGATCACTGAATGAGCTATCGTGGTATTAAAAAAGAAATAAAGGTAATCTAGAAGAAAAAAACCGCCTCTTCTAGTTTAATTTTATTCAGTAATCAGTTAAAATTAGTGCTTCCAAGATTCTCATCTTTTTTTAACCTCTATCAAGTGGACAATAATCTCATACTCGTGAACAACAAACTATATACAATCTAAGAATTTTTTAACCTTAACATCATTGTGTAATTTTCGGGCGACACTTAAAATCTCTAAATACTTGATGAAGCAAGGTCTTTTTATTTTTACTAAATAATTATAAGTACCAGAAGGGGTTTTGTGGATATTATAGTAATTTTATTAGTTGAGATCATGAGTCAATTGAAGCTAGACCATCATGGAAAACCTGGAAGCACTGGGAGGACGTTTCGTCATACTGTGAGACGTGGATGTGCACTGATGAGGAGTCACACAGTAGGACGAAACGGCCACCTAGTGCTTCCAGGTATTTCATGATGGTCTAGCTTCAATCGACTCATGATCTCAACTATTAAAATTATAAGTCCAACTGTACAGCTTTGGTAAATGAAGTCATCATCTAAGAAAGATTTTCTTTCCTGAGTTTTCTTTGTCTCCTTTTTTAATAATTAGAAAATAAAAGTGTAGCTACTAGGATGAGTTACATGTTAATGAAATCTTTCAAGAGATTAATTATGAGAAGAATGACTGAATAATCCTATTGCACCGAAAACTGTTGAGCAGACCAAGGTAATGTTTTTAAGGAAGCAGGAGTATACTCAATGTAGTAAGCGAAATTCAATATAATTTGTTAGTTTTCTTCAAAAGAATCTCATCGTTATATTATGCAGCCCAACGAATAAAACGCAACTGAAGTACTTACTACTTGTGACCACGACTTTTGTATAAATGTACATAGTGCAAAGACTAGTCTCTTTATAACTACAGCTCTTATTGTTTAATAATTATTCACTAAAGCAGAGGGATTCGAGTACAGATTGTGTAGATGGTTAATGATTCTCGGTTCTCCACATTGTGAAAAAATGTTTCTTCAGTTGACATCTGAGAGTAAAATGGATTGTTATATGAGATTTTTGTTATGTTAGTCCTCTACTTTCGGGACTTAAGCTAGTGTTGGAGATACATGGTCCAAGAGTTAATAGCGTTTTTAGGGGAGACCTTCTCTGTCTCATTTTTACACCTGTGAGAAGGGAGTATAACTGAAGATCTTGGTTAACCATGGAGAATAGGTTAATGCGGTCAAACCTCAAACACAGCCGACAGTATGATTTCACCCTCAAATTTGAAATTAGTTGCTTTTAATCTCAGCAGTCTTTAACCGGCCATTGCAATAAGCAAGTATGACTAATGACTAACTGTACCAACTACGGCCAAGAAACTGACTACTCATTATCAATTTCCAATACTCTTGGAACCTCGTAAGTCTGTAAGCACTGCTGAAATAGATTTACTTCCAGGATTTCACTACCATGAATAAATCGATATGATACGTGGGAGGTGACTGCTAGGCGTATGCAAGGCATTTCGTCGGATATTTTGGCGAATAAAATTTAGACTTCATCAAGAGATTTACCTCCCATAGGAATTTTCATCTCTAATTTTTCTACTAATTACTCGGCGGTGTCTCTGAACGTCAGGGGTGCCATATGTGTCATCAGGGTGGTGAACGAGTGTTTATTTTTAAGTTATCAAGGCAAAGATGAGACATTCTAAATAAATACAGATTAATACTTACGTGTTTGTACCGCCATCTTTGTTCCATCTAGTGGATTAACTTGACCAGGATATGAGTCACCAAAACGAAGCTCCCCGATTGAATGAGACACGTTGAACTAGGTTAAAGGATTGTTGTATAATCACAGCATTATAATTATAATGAAAATACTTTGTAAAGAAATATTATAGGGAATGAACAATTTTTTCAAACGATGACTAATTTAGGAAATGTATTGCATAATTAAGCGTTATTTCAGAGCAGCCTTTAAACCGGTGTTATTAAGAAAAAGATCTTCTCTTTTGGGGGCGTAACTTAATCAAGATAAACAAACAAGGGCGATAGTAACCACTGTCAGATTCTAACGATCAAATAAATTCATTATCAAGTACTGAATACATATAAGCATACTAAAGCGATTAACAAATGGATAGATGAAAAGTAGTAATAGTTTGTAGTAAATCAACGTAATCAATAACATAAGGTAACTGTTGTGAACCTACTACTTCGTGCACTCCTCTTGACTACTGACATCAAATGAAGAGAACACCTGCAGATCTTATAACTTCTTTGCATTCATGAGTATGTTTACATGAAGTTTTAGACAAATTGTCTGGTTATTTACCTCATAAATTGGTGACCAGTTGTCAAATTAAAATCCAAAAGCATAAAAAACCTGTTGTTAACTACCATATCTGCATCTTGTGTTGTCCTTGACTAGTGAAAATCCTGCAGTTGACCTTGCTCTTATAAATTAAAGTCTTAATCTCAAAATCAGTGTGGCAAAGTAGAAGAATTGAATCAAATTACATCTAACTTGCGCAGAAAATGTTTGGTAAATACAATTATCTATGATTTGAATTTTGACCAATATAACTGATATGCCAAAATCATCAATTACATATCACATGGTAGTTTGAGTATTTATATAAATGATGCCTCTAGAATTAGGCGCACGTCAGATGAAAAACTATATAATTTTATCAAAATATATTATTGTGACAGGTATCGTATCAAGTAAGGAGAAGACTACTCAATCAAATATTTCTGTTAAGAATACAAAAACAGATAACAAAATAAGTGAACCTCAGTGTGGACGAAACTGTTTTCAATGCTATAACCCTGAATTAAACTTCAACTCACCTGAACAGGACCGAGACTTTGAAAGCTATGAAAGTGTGCATGATTTTCAGTGTAACTATGACCAGGAGCAATATGAAACGCCCCACCAACTCGATTAACTGTTAAATTTCCATGAATTCTGCAACCTTCACTGCCTATCTTTTGTTTAATCTCGTTCCAGTTTTCCTTTCGGCACTGTTCAAATGCAGAAATATTTACAAATACCCATCGCATTTCATTATACGCCATTTGAACTTCCTCACATGTATTACAGCATCTTAAAATATAGTCATGGCAGTATATACATCGATTATTGAACGAATCAAAATCAGGGAATATGAAAACACAAAGTTTCACACAGTCCTATTTGATGAAAGGATTGGTCCGACGGAGCCTCTTGAACGAGTATGTTCGGAAAGAGTTTCTTTCCAGTCCATCTGACTGGTCTCAATCACTGATCGTCTCAATTCATAAGAAACGATAAAAATCCTCTTGTGACAATCACAGAGCAATCAATTTATCTAATATAACATCTAAAATATTAGCCTCAATACTTCGGTATGTAAATA